TTACCTGGAAAGAACTTTTTCCGTCTACAGGGCTGTCATAGGATTTCATGTGAAGCATGATGGCATCAAAGTGAGGTATATAAGCTGATTCAGCTGGAACCATAAAACCACAGATTCCAAGTAGAGCAGCTGCACATATCGATCTGAGCAAACTCGATTTACCACCACCATTAGGTCCAGTTAAAAGAAATAGTGATTGCATGTCAACCGTATTCTGAACAGCAGTTCCAGAAGCTACATCAAACCAATAAGGTGATAGGCCAGTCAGCTTCATTCGAGCAACACCATCTAACGCTTTTGCGCCCTACATTATCAAAACAGGTGAGATAAACATGAGATATAAGAATTAGACAGCCCAACGACTAATATATTGCCCGTGGTCTGTCTAGAAATACCAACGACCAGAAAGCAGAGTTACCTCATCTGTCTTGAATGTAACAAGAGTTGGAAAAACCCACTTTCGTCTTCTCCCTTCACTGAAGCAGTTGTGCACAGTACTTACATTAAACTACAGAACTGAATTTTTTCTTAAATGGAAATTAATGTCCCCCAAACATACCAAGCATGAGCAAATAATGCTTTTGCAATGACGAGAAGCATAGATGCAAAGACCAGAACATTTATTTTTGTTTGCAATTTAGTAGATAACTCCCTCAACAGCTCCAATACTCGGGCATTTGCGTTCTCACTAGCTTCATGATATCTGCAACGAATCGTATTATGATATCAATACGTAGACAGTATATTAAATAAAATTTATTATAAAACGTTACATATAAAGGGAGAGACAACCTGACTAAAGCAACTTCCACCTTTTGGGTCGTAAACCATTCTTCTCCAACCTTTTTTCCTTTCGAGTCTAAAGCAGGTTTCAGCTGTTTAATTTGGTCTTCACCGGCAGTACCAGCCCAAATAGATGGGATAAACCGCTTGCCCTTGAACCAGACAGACTCGTGTTCTCTTGCATATGCAATTTCGCCCTTCGGGCCACCAATTGATGCAGTGGTCGCCCTAATTCTTGATATAATAGGGTGAAAATCCTCAGCTACCTACACCGATGTTTTAGTTTTTTAGAGTAAGAAAACATCACTAGCACACAATACCATTTATAGGACCATCTATTATTATTAAAAGAAATAAGTTTCAGGTCTTGGATACTTACTGCTAAAGATAAAGCCTCAGCTGATTTTTCCACTTGATTGATTTCTTCCTCTATATGGATTCCCTTTACACGACCTCGCCATGAAGACTCCATATCATGAAAGAACTCGTGCGGCACGTTGGCACATTTACTTACATTTTGATGACTTTCATCGTCATCTAGAGAGATCATTTCACCAATTGAATCAGAAGCCCAATGACATTCATTGACCTGGCAAAAACCGAAAACTTCTACTTATACTCATATTCATCAGCTGAAGAAACCAGGAAGTGGTAAAACTAGATACAGACCAGGAAACTTTTATTAAAAAAAAATTCAAATTCAAATTCAAATTAAACATTGATTCTCTGAGCTTGTGTCAACGGATAGGTGCTCACCATCAAGGAAAATAGATAAGAAAACAAACTCATGCTTAAATGCATAAACTTACAAAAGTTTCAAAGTCAATCTTCAAACCAGTAGCCACCCAGGTAGGCTCCATCAATAGTTTCAGGATTTCCACAAGCTCAGCATGTCTATGCATATGTAATACTTCATCAAGAACATTTTTTATTCGGCAGAACTCAATGTAGTTGGCTTCCCGTTGCTCAAGAAGTTTGACGAGCTGCAAGAATATGTATATAGAAGTTAGAAGCTAACCATGAACTAATTATGAAACCAGCTTTCAAAAGTTTGCTCTGTAGCAAGTGACTTTAACCTTAGCAGAAGAGACACAGGTAAACTCCGGAATAGAGCATGTTACTGTGCTCATGAGCTTGCAAGTTTCTGCAAATATCAATAGTTTGGCAGGCAGAATGAGAAGCCTTAAATCATAACAAACCTAAAAGGGAATAAACTAACTAACTCTTCGCATTGGTTAAAGTACCTTGAATTTTCAGAGCAATATCATAAGGAGGGGGGTTTAGAAGAAGATCCCGGACATACCTGGAAGGCAAAAAGACAACGAAGGAAGAGGAGAAAAAAAAACGAAATCAGATTTTCCACCCAAAGATGATGGATGCTTTGGAAAATATAACCAATTTTTCCTTTCTACTTACAAAGAAGGTAGGCCACTGCACGTAGATGGAAGCAACACCTTCAACAAACAAGGTATTCCTTCAGTAGGTAAGGCACCTGCAGTACCACAATATATATGTTACCATCATTTACCATTCCAAAACTCTTAGACTTCCTAGTAAAACACTGTGGCCTATGCCAACCAATTTGTGTAGCCGTTCCAAGATGCAACGGACGTGGTCGATTTTCTGAAGGTACATTGACATTTCTAAAGGAAACTTTATCATCAAGACCATAAACATCTTTGACCTGCGGGAAAAAAAGAAGTAAATAATTGTTTTTTCACCAAACTGAAATGTCATATTTAATCGGTAGCCAGAGTCCGTAGATATGACCTTCAATAAGAGCTCGGAAAGAGTATCTCCTTCAAACCATTCAAAATTCCTGCCACTGCATTCTCCCCAGAGTAGACCACCTTCCCCAAACTCTCCCCAGCGGCATGTCCCTGCACAGTAAAAATTTCAAGAATTGTATCATACAAGACCCTAAAGCTCAAAAATAAGCTGACAAAATCATTATTAGTTTTGTTTATAATAGCCTCCTTTCAAACTGATTGCTAGAGCATATGCTACACTCTAACATTTTAATTATCTTAAGTCCCCACATTCTATAATTGGACTTATCTCTAACAGTCATAACCACTAATACAATGTAGAATTGTAGATAATATCCAAAACCTGACGCATTGTGTCTCAATGATGCATGCAAGAAAAGATGATGACAGCGACGGGTGCGGAGCTTGGTGACCAAGGCTTCTTCTGTTAGACCATCGTCTAGCGAATAAGCTTTCATAGTTTCGAAAATAGATATCATACAATACCCCCTTGCTGAACGAGATATCCCTATAATTAAAAAACAAAGAAGGTCACGTAAGACTTATGTACAAAAAAATGAAGACCTACAATTTTCATTATATTATAATGAAGGCGCACACTAATATTTCAGTGACTAACAACAAACCAGATGATATACTTACCAACGACAGGCATAGGCTCCGGAAAGTCAAGATCGTGGTCAACACCAACGAGCCCATATACATAAGGACTTCCTGGATGAGCATGCCTAGATACTTACAAATACATGTCAGAAAGCTGAATGTCAAGGGGAAAAATATCTAGTGTGTTTCGCTAAACAATAAGACAATGAATTTTGCTGCTTGTGAAATCAGAACTTCGTATTCTAAAACTAATTACATACCCTGAAATGAATCGACCTTTACGAGAACGAGCTGGTGTTGGCCCTTGAACTTCCTCCACAATACACTGCAGTGAAGAAAAAAAAAGATGCAACACAAAGAGAATCGTTTTAATATGCTTAAGGATGAGAAAATGGTAAGACAAAAATTCTTTCTCAACTCACCACTGAAAAACCGTTGCGTGTTAGGTCATCCAAAGTCTGTCGAAGATTCTGCAGAAAGAACAAAGAATTAAAACTGGACTTAGAAGAAATTTTTTTGGCAATAGAAAAATCAATGGCTGCTAAAGACGCTGCTTATGTAATTTGCCCAAGTTCTCTTCAAAAACTACAGTTTTGAGGGACTAAATTGCTTCAAAACTATCGATTAATAAGAGAAAAGAATCAGAAACTGTGATGTTTATTTTCATGCATATCGAGATTCTGCAAACAACTGTGCTTCATTTTCCCATAAAAAGATGAGGCTTTTCTAATGTTAAAGAGACAATTCTTTCAAAACAATGCCAGAGGTGAAGTAATTTTTTTCGTATAAACAAAATGTCCACTTGAGTCCTGCTATTCACATCAATTCCCTCAATGAGAGTAAGCTTGAAAGTAAAGAAGGATTTTGTACCACAACTGGGCAGCCAGCCTTCGGAACACTATCTGTTCGAAGACCACCAAAAGGATTTAACCCAGCAAATTCAACGAGTATGCAAGCATCTATACCAAGAGCCTCATAGAAGTCTCCAACCTGAAAAAATGAGAACGATTGCAGCAAAATTATTCTTAGGATCAACATTCTACTAGTTGTTGATTTGACATAACAGAGAGCACAAAACTCACGGGACTAGGGAAACCAGCAAAATCGTTTACAGAATTGTCTGTTTTGCGTAAAGTTAACTAAATGTATATCATAAGAGAGAAAAGAGAAAATGACATACTCTGCATAGTAAAACTTCACGTGGGAACCTTGACTTAAACTGCAACATCTCCCCATTGAGGTTGCCATCTTTTAGACTGAAATGAAAGAAATCCAATAACAAAATATAAACGAAGGCCACAAAGTTACTGACAACCAACTGGCTACTGGTAATATGATGCTAAAAAATTCTTTCTTATTGTCGATAAATCTCCATCAAGGAAGAATGTTAATCACCTAAGTTATACTTAGATATAAATGCTAGTTGTCACTAGATAGCCAGGCTCAAAAAGGATTAAAGACTGACATCAAGAAAGTGAGATGACATTATGCTTCGATAAGACTCAGTTAGATGTTCTAATAGCTTCAGAAGAGAACTAACCTTCCATTCCTGAGGCTAGGGTCCAGACCCAGTAAATTAGTGTACATAAGCCTTTCGATAAGCTGAAGAGTGGATGGTTTCTTACATGTCTGCAATCTCTGAAGAGTATTCAAGGAAGACAGAGAAAAAAAAAAGACATGTGAACAACATTTTCTTTTTGTTTCACAAAATTATAACAAGAGTTGAAAAAGTCTTATCAAAATACAAAAACAGGGATTACCTCCTTCCACCAGAGCAAATGAGAGAGATCTTTGTCACTGAGAACATCACTTGACTTGTTAACTCTCTTAGAAGCCGTAGTGATTCCTTTCACGGCCTTTCGATCTCCAAGACAGTATGTCCTCTCAGAGTACCTTGTATTACTATCGAGACAAACAAACGAAATCATTAAGACACAGATTCATAATAACAAGACACTATCAGAAACTAGACCAAGAACCTTAACAAAATTACAAAAATACAGGACCCAACAAGCAAAGTCTAAGGAAATAGCAAAAAAAAAAGAATTTGAACTATGCTTGTCCATTGTGTTCGAACTAAGTAATCTAACTCAACCACAAAATCAAACCCCTCGAGTCTAATTCGAAGAAATTGAAGTCCAATATCTACAAAATCCGAACTTGGTAC